CGCCCCCGCCAGCAGCCACCACCGGACGCCTCGGCCCGGCCCTCTGCCGGCCGCCCCGCCCTCGCGTCCCTCCTGCTGGCCGCCAGCCGGCGACGGCGGGCCTGCCCCGACCTCCGGGCTGCGTCCCCATCTCTGCCCGCCGCAGGCCTTGACCCTGGTGGGTGTCCAGAAAGTGTGCTCAAGTGGACAAGTGAGCGACCCCCGTCCTGCTGCAAGGCCCGGGATGTGCAGGGGGAGCAGGGCTCAGAGATGGGGCGCCCTGGGGCACGGCCAGGCCGGCCCTTCGCTGGGGACGGTGCAGGGGACGCCAGGCTGTGCCTGGGCGCTGGCGGCGCCGCGGTCCTGAGGAGGGGTGGCCCGCCTGCCTGCCGTCCTCTGCCCTGGCCGCCGCGTGGTCCTCAGACTTGAGCTTTGGTTTATCCTTTCGCCTTCACCTCTTCTCTGCTCTTTGTCCTTCCCCTTTCTCACTGCGATTCAGAATTTCATTCTCTTGTTTGTTCCGCTTGTTGGCAGAATCTGGGGCTCCAGCCTTTCCAGGACTACTGGGGTGGTCAGTGGCACTTGGGGTGATGACCTCCCGGCAGTCAGGACCTTAGAAACTTCAAGCAGGGGACTTTGGGAGATGTAAGCCCAGCGCCCAGGAGTGGTGCAGCCTGGGGGTGAAGCCGCTGGAGCCCCTTGTAGCCGCTGAGGCCTGGTCGGAGCCGCAGTCTTCCTCCCGCGCAGTTTTTCCTGAGTCCTCGTTCGCAGTGCATAATGTTTCTATTCCTGTGTGGAGCTGCTGTGTGCACAGAATCTCTCTCTCCCTCCCACCCTTCCTCTGTCCTCTCTCTCTCTCTGTCTTTCTCTCTCACTGTCATTGGTCTTTTTGACATAGAGTGTCACTATGAAGTTCAGGCTGGCCTTCAACTCACAGTGACCCTCCTGCCTCAGCCTCCTCAGGGCTGGGATTACAGACCTGTGTCACCATGCCAGCTCCCTCCATCTTCTCATCTTCCCCTTTTGACAAAACTGTCCCCCAGCTTCTTGTTGGCTATGTTTTATTTTGCTCTTTGTTATATTTTAACTTTCTCCTATAAGAGAGACCATGTGGCATTTAAGATTGTGTATCTGATTTATTTCACTTAAGGTAGTTTCGAGGTGTATCCACTTCTCTATAAATGATCTATTTATTTATTTATTTATTTATTTATTTAATTTGTGTGTGTGGCCAGCTCAGCCCACCAGGGGGCGGGGCTGGCTGACATGTGGTGCTGGGGGATTGAACCGTGGTCCCTGTGCTTTGCTAAGCTTGTTCTAAGGAGGTGCTTTAGACCACTGAGCCATCTCACCACCCCCAGTGTTTCTTTATCTTTAACTTTTTAAAAATCTTTATTTATTTGGGGCAGGGTCTCGATACACAGCTCAGTGATCTTCCTGTCTCAGCCTCCCCAGCGCTGGGATTACAGGTGTGCACCACCTTGCCCAGTTTTGTGGGGCTGGCATGTCGTGTGGTACTGAGGATTGAACTTGGGTCTTTGCACTTGTCAGGCGCTTAGACTGCCACTCTATCTCTCCAGCCCTCATTTATTTTTCTTTTCTTTTTTTATTTTTTGGTACCGGGAATTAAACTCAGGATCTTACACCAGCCAGACAGGTGTTATGCTACTGAGCTATATGCCAGCCCCTAGGTTTATTTTTATTTTTGACAGTTTTTGTGTGTATGTACTAGGAATTGAATTAATTTTTTGTGTGTGGGCACTAGGAATTGAATTAAGAGCATCTCACTTGCCAGACAGGCACTGTGCCACTCAACTACATCTCCAGTCCTGTGGTGTGTTTTTGAGACAAGGTCTCCCTGTGTAGTTCAGGTGCTGAGGCTGATCTTGAACTTGCGGCCATCTTCCTGCCCCAGCCTCCCAAGTGCTGAGATTGTAGGTGTATGCCATGCTACTCCTGGCTGAACAACAGTTTTTTGTTTTTGTTTTTGTTTTTTTTTCAGAACCAGGGATTGAACTCAGGCCCTTGCACTTGCCAGGGAAGCGCTTATTCCACTGAGCCATCTCCCCGGCCCCTGAACAACAGTTTTGATTCAAATTTTGGTTATATGTTACTGCTGTAGAATTGTGATAGGGTTTTGTTCTCTGTTCTGTGGTTCTAGGAATGGGAATCCAGGGCCTCTGCAGCAGCAAGCTTTCTACCACAGTGCTGCACAGCTACCCCAGGACAGGTTCTAATCCAAGCGGATGCCGGTCCCCGCACTCCCTGTGTCCTTAGAAGTAGCTTTGGGTTGTAGTAGGAGCACAGTTGTGTCAAAGAGACAGCACTAGGGGTCCACACCTTGCGCAGTACCCACCAAGACCCTCCAGCCATGGCAGCCTAGTACCTCGTCTAGCAGAGCGGTGAGCCGGTGGGGCACAGGCTGTGTCTCGGCAGGCACCCGGCATCTTCCTAGCCTTACTCCAACCAGAGAACCCCTCATATGGGATTATGGAGCTGTCAGTGAGCAGCAGCAAATCAGGTGGTTTTGGAACTTGTCAGTTTGAGGAAATGGGGCCTTGCTAAGTTGCCCAGGCTGGGTTCGAACTTTTGATCCTCCTGCCTCAGGCTCCTGAGTGCTAGGATCACAGGTGTGTGTGTGACCAGGTCTGGCTAAGAAAGAGAATTTCAGAAGAGGAACTAGCAGTAGCTGAGGTAGGAAATTCTCAGGAGACTCACTGGCTGCTGGGGAGCGTATCAGCCAGCAGATCAAACAGTTCTGCCTCGGTTAGGTGTGTCCTGGAATTTTGTCTTGGAAATTTAACCCTCCGGCCAGCCAGCCGTGTAAATCAGGTCTGGACATGGGACCTTCACCAGATGATAAGGGTGAGATGTGTGTATAGGAGTGTGGCCTGAGACTGAATTAACGGCTTTTTGTGCAGGGTAGAGAAGCAAGAGGCGACTGGCTCCCTCGGCCAAATGTTAATATATGAGTTGTTTTTCCTAAACTTAAAACTACCGTCTCCAGATTTAATTGCAGGGCTGGCATTTTGCAATAAATAAGTGGGTTTGGGGCTGTGATTTGGGCACTGGGTCTCCATCGCTGTATTAGGAACTAAAGTGAACAGACCTGGTGATTGAATGGAGAGGAGAGAGGCAACTTGGAGCTGTGTCCCTCTTCTAGCCAGACAGCATGGCCCAAGTAGCTGTGTAGAAGACAAACATGCAGCCAGATATCCAATGCCCATAATCCCACACTGCCAGGAGGCTGAGGCAGGAGGATTACAAGTTTGAGTCCAGTCTGAGCTATCTATCTATCTATCTATCTATCTATTTATTTATTTATTTTTGCGGTACGGGGGATTGAATTCAGGACTCTGCGCTTGCCAGGCAAGAACTTATTTTACTGAGCTGTCTCCCCAGCCCTAGTCTGAGCAATTTAGAAAAACCTTTTTTTTTTTTTTAAGTAGCCAAAAGGCTAAACATTTTCTAGACATTAGCCATTTAAACTATGTACATGCTTATGATGTAGGGTTTTTGTTTGTTTTTGTTTTTTATGGGGGGATTGGCATGGTGTGTGGTGCTGGGATTGAACCCTGATCCCTGCACTTGCCTAAGCAGGAGCAGCTTAGTCCCCTGAGCCATCCCGCTGGAATGGTGTGGGTTTCACCAACCCATTTTCAGACAGGTAGTTAAATGCAGGTCTAGAGCCATTAGTAATTTTTCTAGGTCCGCCAAGTCGTGTAGGGCGGTGTTGACATTGGAGCTTGGGGTTTTCCACTCCCAGGCCATTCACTGTGCTGCTTCCCCATGAGTGACAGGGCCAGCTTACTGGTGGTGGGGCTGGGAGCAGGGGTCAGGGGAGCAGAGCCCAGGATTTTGTGCAAACGGGCCGAGGGAGGCGTGATGTCCCCATCACTACGGAGCGTTTGCTGCCTCTAACATGTTCCTCAGGCCAGCCAGATAGCTCAGCTGATTAAAGCGCCCGCTTAGGCAGATGCAGGGACTGGCATGGCACGTGCCCCGGGCATGCTGGCCCAAGAGCCCGGGCGTGGTGATGCAGCCCGTAATCCCAGCGCTTGGGAGGCTGGAAACAGGAGGATCACTATGAGTCTGGTCTGTGCAGTGAGACCCTGTAGACCCTGTACTAAATGCATAAAAATAAATACTTTCTCCCAGGCCTCCCCAGGGCAGGACGCTGCGCCCCAGCCTTCTCTCTTTGGGGCCCATTGCTCGCTTTGGGGCAGGATCTCCCTGTGTAGCCCAGGTTGGCCTTGAACTCATGGCAGCCCTCCTGCCTCAGCCCTCCACCTGAGTTCTGTGTAAGGGCACAGGCCTGGCTTTGAGACCCCCATGTGTGCACAGATGCCTGAGGGTCCACCTGGCGCCTCCTAGGTGCCCAACTCCCCTGGGTGTTGGGCACAAGCTCTTTTGCCAAACCACAAGGGAGCCATGAATCAATGTGTCCTCTCTGAAAGACCATTTGGAAGACATTAAGCAGCTCAAGATTTTCATGTTGACATGCATCCCTAAAATATTCCTGCGTCTCTCTCTGTGGTATTTATGATAGGGAAGCAAAATATTTTGGTTGAGAAAATTTTAGTTTATACATACTGTGTGTCTTGATCTCTCTTTTTGTTTTTCTGACTTTCTGTTCTTCCATTTATTCTTTTTTTTTCTTTTCAAAACAAGGTTTTGCGGTGCAGTTCAGGCTGACCTTGAACTCAGTTTGCAGCCCCTGCTAGCCTCAAACTCACAGGGATCCTTCTGCCTCAGGCTTCTGAATGTTGGGATTACAGGAGTGTGCTACCATACCCAGCCTGATTTTTTTTTTTTTTCTGTAGTCATTAAAAATCATGTTCTAAGCCACACACAGTGGCTCACTCCTATAATCTCAGCACTGGGAAGCTACGGCAGGAAGACCGCCATGAGTTTGAGGCCAGCTGGGGCTCCATAGGGAGTTCAAGGCCAGCCTGAACTACATCTCAAGACCTTGTCTCAACGCTTTCCCCTGCCCCCGCGGAAAAAAAAAAAGAAATCATGTTCTAGGGCAGTGGTGGCAAAGCTATGGTATGGGTGCTGCAGTGAGCTCTTTGTTAAACACTGAAAGGTTTGCCACCCCTGTTCTAGGGGAATATTTAATAATAGTGAAACGGAAAATGCTCTTGATTTAAGTGAAAGGCTCTTATATATGTGTGTGCACACATCTATAGCTGTTTATATATCAAGTCTGTATATACACATATACACACACATATAGCATAATGACACAGCTTACATATGGTGCATCTGCATGATGGATTATGAGTGACTCTTTTTATCTTGTACTTTTCTTCATTGTTTTTTGAGAGAGGGTCTCACTATGTAGTCCAAAGTAGCCTTGAACTCTCAGAGACTCTCCTGCCTTGCCTCCTGAGTGCTGGGGTCACAGGTGTGCGCCACCATGCCCAGCTTTGTACTTTTCTGTGTGTATATATAGTGAGCAGTGACAACTGTTGTAAGAGGAAAATACTGTTTTTAAGTTAAGTAAGTGCTGTTGCATCACCTGCGTGGGTGTACGTAGGCAACAGCCCCCTTGCCACTTCCTGTGGCTGTCCTGCATGTGTAGATGGACAGTGAGGTCCAGATGGGGTCTGGCTCATGTGCAGTGTGGCAACAGCATGGAGCCTCCCTAGGGGTACGTGGGAGGAGCTCCTGAGTCGGGCGCTAGCATCGGCTCCACTGAGGAGCAGCGTTGGCTGGTGTTGCTGTGCGTCTGTTTGGTGTGGTGGCCTTTTGGTGACTGCCCACTAGGACACCTGATAGCTGCTGTGTATATGCTGATGGCTGCATCATGTGGCCGCACACAGCTTTCTGGAACACCTGTGTAGTGCAAGGTTCTGAAGCAGGGACCTGTCACCAACCCCGGCTGGCTCAGAAAGTTGTTGGTGTGTGGCCTGCGCAGGACCAGCATCAGCAGCCTGTGAATTGGGGCACTTAAGTCATGCGGCCTTGGGCGGAGTTCTAAGCCTTCCAGAGCTTCAGCTCTGCTGAAGAAGGGTGCTTTAGTTAGTTTCCAGTTTTTTATTTGTTTTCGTTTTTGTTTTTGCTTTTTTGCAGAACCGGGGATTGAACTCAGCCACTTGCACTTGCCAGGCAAGCACTTATTCTACTGAGCCATCTCCCCGGCCTCTGTTTTTCTTTTTTGAGACAGGATCTTGCTATGTAGTGCAGGCTGACCTTGAGCTCACTATGGAGCCCAGACTCAGCGGGCAATCCTCCTGCCCCAGCCTCCCAAGAGCTGGAAGTGTAGGTGTGCAGTGCGAGTGTGGCAGTGTCCTCACCACCTTACCATTAAGCATCACCCCTTGATGGCATGGCTGGGCACTGAAGGATTGCAATGCTTTGTTCTGCAGCCCCCAGGTTTCCCTTGATGACGAGCACACATCCCCTTTCCTGCCAGAAGACCTTGTGCAGGAGCCGTGGCCATGGCATCCACGCCGGACCCCGTGACCTTCCGCGAGTTCTGCCCGCTGTACCATCTCCTCAATGCCATCCCTGCCAAGGTGCAGAAGGGCTTCCGCTCCCTGGTGGTGTACCTCACGGCACTTGATGCCAATGGGGACTACATCGCTGTGGGCAGCAGCATCGGCATGCTGTACCTGTACTGCCGCCGCCTCAGCCACATGCGAAAGTACAACTTTGAGGTGAGTGGCTGGCTCCTTGCGCCCCTGGGCACAGCTGGTCATTGACCAGCTTTCACCAGGTGGGGTGTGACACAAAATGCTGTGTGTTTCAGTTCTTGTTCCTGTTTTGGTAGATCTCACATCACTTCTTTTTGTTATTATTTTTGAGACAGGGTCTTGCTATGCAGTTCAGGCTGCCCTTGAGCTCACTTTGTAGCTCAGGGTGGTTGCAGACTCAATGATCCTCCTACCTTAGTCTCCATAGTGCTGGGATTACGGGCATGCACCACCACACCAGGCTCTCTTTTAAAGAATATTTTAGTGTTAAACACTTGCTAGAAGACTTTGGAAAAGGTGCTTGTCCCATAAATGTTTGGTCTCTTCAAGTGTGTTGACCAACTTGAATGATCTCTAGGTAGACTCGTGGAATTGGGTCCCAAAGAGGATCTGGCTGATGACCAAAATCACACACACCTTAAATAGGAAGACTGGGGCTGGAGCTGCCAACCCACGGCTGCTGGGTGTCAAGGTGCTGTCGGTGACAGTAGTGGCATCCTCGGGCCACTGTGTGCTGGCAGCAGAGCTCAGTCAGATCTATAGTGCATCAAGCAGGCACCTGCAGCAGGGCTCCAAGGTGGCTGAGTTGGCCTCCACTCTGTGGCCTTGTGGGGCTCTCCTGTGCCTATGGATAGTGGGCTTTGATTGAGGAGAGCACAGAACACATTCCATGAATTAAAGCTTTTAGGTTTTGAACTTAGCTCTCCTTTCTGCAGTGCTAAGGACTGACCCCAGGGCCTTACACTTGGGAAGTGCTATGCCGCTGGGTACATCCCCAGCCTTCTCATTCCTTGTTTTGTTTTTTT